AGATGTGTCATTAAAACAAACCCAAATGACAAACGTGTCATCGACATACCTGGCATAGAAGTCTGTCTGATCGACCGCGGACTTCATTCTTGTTTGTTCTAGGTCGCCCATAAAAATACCTGCCAGAATCGAACCCAGCAGACTCCCCATGGCGACTCCCTCAATTTAGTGGTACAGAACATTTGGAACAACTTGATATGATTATGAGCAATAGTTTGTGCTCGAAACGTCATCAGTTAATATTACTGTGTAACACTATGTGATTTATCAAAATAAAATCTTATCCATAATAGAGTTATGCTCTACCACAGTGCCCAAGTTTTATACTTATATCAACAGAACATTTGGAGTTAGTTGTGCTTTCTGATGATCCATCTTTGTACACATCGAAGAGATGTCAAATGACACCATGAATTTATTTGAAATATCAAAATTCTTGGATAATTCCCATCCCAGGCATTAATTAAAACAAAACGCTTTTCTTTTCGGCGAATTCATTTTCTTAGCTGCACAATCACAAATATATACGGGTTATTTTGTATGTATGCCTACATTAAGTTTGCCAAACAAAAATACAATTGGTTATGGTTATTTTAACTAAAGGGGTGAAAATTAGTAAGTTTTGGGTTGAGTTACGTAATACAAAAACGGTCAAGGAAATTGGGTGTTAATGAAACTAGTGTAGTAACAAAGGTATGAGTTGTCACAAATAGTTGTTAAAAAGAAGTTATGTAATAGTATGAATAGTTTGACGATTGAGTTTTTCTCAGGATACACATAGGAACAAAGTTGAGAATACGAAATTACGTAAGAGTTCTAAATGAATACAAAAATTATAAGCAATTAAAGAAACAGGCAAACAAACAAAATTAAGTCAACAAAGTTGTTACCATGATAATAGACATGGTTGAGTCATTCTCTTTTGTATGCACAGTTCTGGTTTTTCTATGTGAAAGGCCAGAGTGCAGCGATAGCGATCCTGAGTACAACTCAATCATCAAACTATTCATATTATTACGTAACTCCTTTTTAACAACTGTTTGTGACAACTCATACCTTTGTTACTACACTAGTTTCATTAACACCCAATTTCCTTGACTGTTTTTGTATTACGTAACTCTACCCAAAAATTACTAATTTTCACCTGTTTAGCGAAAACAACCATAACCAATTGTATTTTTGTTTGACAAACTTAATGTACACATAGATTTGCGATTGCACAGCTGAGAAAATGAATTCGCCGAAAAGAGACTCTTCGTTGAACTACATGTTTTGTCTTGATATCTAAATTCTCTAATTGTTTAGCGAAGTGAAATGTGTCTTTCAAGCTATAGACAGCTAACTTGTCACAGATTGGCTCCAATAGTTCTGCTAGCCACCGAGCTACTTAGTGATACGGAGAATTAACCGTTGATAGTATTGGTCTCTTATGGGAACATTGGATTTATGCATCTTTGGTAAGCTGTATTAACCATCTCACAGGAGGCAACTATCATAGCCCCACAAGCCTAATGTATAGTGCTTTGTTATCTGAAACGATGACCGCACTGACGACTGTTAGTCACCACTATCAATCTAAACTACATGAATGACTGTTTACTGTTACTTTAATCAAATTAAAACAATCTCATTTGTTTTCTATGGTTGGTTTGTAAGGATTAGATTTGTTTTTAACTAGTTTTACCACGGATCGATATCAGTTAGAGAACCATTGAAAACCAGCACAGAGTACTGTGCAGCTGTTTCATCCTATTTTGGGAATCATCTGCAGTACGCAACCATTGGGGCTCGAACTCAGGACCTTCCGGTTACCATTCAGCTACTGGGACCCGATTCAATGGCCAGTCTATGAATTCTAACTTCTACCAATTCGTGATTTAGCGCGACCACCAACCAATGTCATCGGTGGGACATCCATCCTCACACTTGACTGTATGGAGCTCACTGGTCACGATTTCTCACTAGAACTGTAGGAAACTCAGTGCTGTAGCAAGTCACTATCGAGCATCAGATTAATTTTCAATAGTTGGTTTCTAAGGATTAGACTTGTTTTTTACGAGTTCCTGGGTTCGAATTCCAGTGGGTGCGTACTGCCGATAATTCCCAAACTAGGATGAAACAGCTGTCCAGTACTTCATGCTGGTTTTCAATGGCTCTCTAACTGATATCAATCCATGATCGACTCGTAAAAATCTCAGTCAGAAGTGATCAGAAACATTTTTAGCTATTTACCAATTACGTATTACAATTCTGTCAATTATGCATTATACAATACACAGAATAATTGATTTTTATGTCTTTGTATTTCTGTACAACAATATAAGACAGTTATGTAAGTGTTTCTTAGTGTTGGCTTTTATTTCAGACTGTCAGTTGTTGTCAGTTTAACAGAGTCAGTATGATACCAGTTTAAAGTTTATAGTAAAATCAATTAAAATTTGAGAAGCTTCATTTATATAACACTGAAATTATTATGTCAATAAATATTGATATGGAGTTAGGTGATAGATGACACGCAAATCGCTGTCACAGCTGGATTTCAACTAAACTGTTAGTTCATTGCTCCACCACCTGAACAGTAGTTCAGCATTTTCTAAACAGGTGATCAATTTATTGATATAAGTATAAAACTTGGGCACTGTGGTGTTAGAGTATAACTCCATTAGAGATAAGATTTTATTTTGATAAATTACACAGTGTTGTACAGTACTATTAACTGATGACAGCGTTTCGAGCACAAGTCATATCAAGTCACTCAAACAACTTTCTTGCTTCATTTATATACATGAGTGAAAATCTCTCTCTTTCTGCATCTAACTATATTACGTTTAAGAATTTTGACTCTGTTCCACCCTATTGTTTGATTGTTTCTCAATGCATTCAGTGCAATTGCTGAGTTTTTTCTAAATTACTTCTCAGGGTCAACCATTCTTACCTTAGCTAGATTCTTTTGCTCTAATAATCTCACTACACCTGCCCTATTAACTAGTATGAAATAGGTAGTCAGTTGACTTCACTCACAGCCATTGTAAATTTTGTAAATTATAATATTTTGTTCAACTGGGGCAAGTGGGTATTTTAGCCTACAAAGCTTGTCTCCAAGTGAGTTTGTAGGTTGGTTTCAAAGCTTCCCTAATTCCTGCTTTATTGAGACTCCTAACACGTAGGGTTTCATATGTCCCTCCTTATATCGTAAAACTGTAGATGCCTTATATTCTCTCTTATTGATGTTATCATTATTAGTTTCACCATTATTTTTATTCTACTTTTGACCTTTTCATATTCCCAATGAATTTAATAGGATAGTTAGTTATTCATCACCAACGCGTCTTCTGTCTGTTTCATTTCATCATTTAGATTTTTTGTTGTGCTACTTAGCAGACTTATTGCTCGGTTCGTTTGACGCTTAGTCCCAGTCATATTATTATTCTATTGGGTTCCGAGTGCGAAATAGGGCTTCGACAACACATCTTCACTTTCTTTTATTTCCTGCTGTCCTCTTCAGCTGGTTCCACAACTACTCATGATCTCTCATCTCCTCCTCCTTGTACGACCTCTTTCATTTCACCCTCGAAGTGACGACCCACTCGTTACTCTCCATTTGTATGTCACTCGAGGGACTGATGCTTGACGCCATTCGACGAAATCCTCAGCGTATGCCCGGTCCATTTCCATTTTCTCCTACATATTTGTTGAGCGATTGGCTCTTAGTTGCTTTGTTACCAGAGTTTCTTGTTGATATTTGAAACTGGCCATCTAGCCATTCGATTATCAGTATGGAGGCAGAGATGGCAGCTGTTGACAAAATTCCGCAACACGCTGTTAGAAACGCTTTTCGTAACGCCTGAGTCAATTTTCTGGCCCGTATAGAAGAATCCACTGACTTCACATTGGTGTTTAAAACCCGATTCTTGTTTTTATGCTCAAACAGTGCAGAAGATATGCAAACCGGCTTATGAAGCTGCATCTTGCTTTTCCGATTCTGGCTTGCTGGCTTTGACATCATCCGTACTTCCAGCTGTGAAGAAAGTAAGCTCTGTCAATTCTCCTCGTTGATGGAGATTCGTGTTGGTTGTTGTTGTTGCTGTTGGTTGGTTATCTTCATCACCTCCGTCTCCACCTTTTCTATGTCCACCTGGAGTCTTGTCTTCGCTGCCTGCCTCCTCTACCAGTTTGTTGGTTTTCGCCTGAAAGGAAGTCTTCGAGTTTGTGTGAGTGAAAATAAAAACAAATCATCCACACACGAAATCCAGATCTCCTAGAGTCGTCTTATTGGTTCGACGTATTCCTGTCTTCTCACTCCCAACGCACAGTCTGAAACAATCCAATTCAACACAGTTACGAATATCATCGGTGATATCAGTGGGCAGTCTCGTCTTACTCCTGTATTCACTTCAAAGGCTTCGATAAGTTTTCCGTTGTTGATCACCCAACACGTGGCATTGTCAATTATCCAGCTGTTGAATGCGACTGATAAAGATTTGGGACACTGCACGCCATAGTGTCGTAGTAGTTTCCAAATTACTTCTCGGTCAACGCTGTCGAAGGCCTCTTCAGAGGAAATAAAGGAAGTTGAGGTAAAGGTTTGACTGCCACACTGTGCTTTGTTCTGTGATGATGATGAATCAAGCTGCAATTTGATCAGCATATGATTCGCCCTTCCTGAATCCAGCTTGTTCGGGTTGGAGGAGTTCTGCATCCAGTACATCTTTTATTCTCTCCAGGATGACGCAACTTAATATTTAACTTGGCGTTGACAAGAGCATTATTCCACGCCAGTTCTTTCAGAGGCCTAAGTTTCTTTATGAATTGCTGAAGTGTCCGAAATTAGAATGAAACATCTATTCTGTACTACCTGTATTTTCAGTGGTTCTCCAACTGATGTTATGGTTGAAATTAATTCCAAACATATTATGAAATTATAAAAAGTAATTCTTCCCTATTCGCTTCTAACAAAATATACTTAACTCTTATGATGTTTCTGTTATTTTATTTTACAGGGAATTGAAAGGAACCGAACATTGAAACATTTATCGTTTGAAGGTTCTTCTGTTAACGATGAAGGACTTGCAGGTGAATTTCAAATTTGAATAATTTCGTGTATTTGCAAAACCTCTAAGTCAAGTAGAGTTAATGGAAAGAGGTATTTTTAAAAACTGACAATTCTTCTCAAGTTGAACAGAAATGAAGGCGTTTGAAATGATGGGCTAAGTGTTCGAGTCTCAGTGATAGCACCATTACACTTACTGGGAATGCAGGTACATCCACTGGCTGATAATTCCTGAACAGGAAGATGTTATGCTGCAATATATTCTCTAAGGCTAACTGGTTATACAGGCGAATTCGCCTTAGCGGTTAACACCGTCCTCCTGTCTTCACCAACCAACACTTTTATTGATGTGATAAAGCATACTGTTATGCATCTCAATAAGCGTGTTTCACATGAATAGATGTAACGATTTATTGTAATGACCCTTCTGCAGATTCACCCACGGAAACCTTGTTAAAACTTTTAATTCCTCCAGACAGTCAAGGTAGTTCGTATTCTAGGAACTGATTTCACTACTAGTCACCATCAACTTAAAATAACTTCCTTTTTAAACATTAGACATCATCATAGCGTACTAAGTAGTTAGATTGACCCTGAAACTAAATTATTTCTGGAAAAAATTGATAATACAATCCAAACTTCTGGCTATTTATCGCGTTGTTTACATTTTGTAGAATGCATCAAGATAGGAATGTAAATGTTAGGCTTAAAGACCTAACTAACTAACTAACACAAATAAGTCATTCAATGGTTCTGTAAAGCTTCTCCTACCAAGCTATCTCAAACACAAGTTACTCATGAATATCCATGGCTAAAGTGTATTTACTTGTATCAGATGAGAAAAAGCTAATTTGGAAGGAATGGGTAGACTAAAGAAGAGAACAGTAGTTCCCTATTACGTAACTGGTTGTTGGTATGAAAAGTGCCATGGAAGTGCAATCAATCAAATCCTTACAAACCAATACTTGAAGATCAATGAGATGCTCACTAGCGACTGGTCCTATTCAGGTAGGTAGTTACCTGAGGCTCTAGTGAGAAGTCGTGACCAGTAGGGTGCAGCAGGTCGGGTGTGAGGACGAACACTTGCCGAAGATATTGTATAGCACAGATCGCGCTATGTCGTGAATTGGCTGAAGTTGGAATTCATAGAGTCGGATCTTGGTGGCTCAGTGGTCTACGAGGTCGCTCGCCTTGTAACCAGAAGGTCCTCGGTTCGAACCCTTGTGGTTGGTACGTACTGTGAAGAGTCTCAAGCCAGGACGAAATAGATGGCTGTCCAATACTTTCAGCTGGTTTTCCAATGGTTCTTTAACCGATGTCAGCCCATGATGAAATCCTCCAACCAATCAAACGGAATCCCCACAACTTTGTTGGTTCTAAGTAGAAAACAATATAATTTATCAAATACCATTTGATGACTGTGAGGTCAATTACATAAGTCAAACTAGCCAATCGGGGTCAACTAGATTAGTGGAGCATACGAATTTGGCTAAACCTAGAATGATTGACCCTCCTAAGTTAAATAACCTAGAAAAACCTCAGTCATTGCATTGCACTGCATTCACTTGCTTGTAATCACACAAAAGGGTAGGTGGGACAGGGTGGGAGTATTAAAAAGTAATAAAGGTAGTTAGGTGGAGACGGAGGCAGGTTAATCTCTGACTGAAGCTTTGTGTATCTATTCGACACCTCACACGTGCACTCGGAATGACGCAACGCCTATACCGGAGATATGGAAAGTGACAACCAACAACAAAGGGAAGTTAGAGAGACAGAATGAGGGAAAATACATACGACGAATTGTGAAGCCGTGTGACTAAAATGGATTGGTGATTATAAGCGGCAATAATTTATGCTCGAAACCTTGTCATTTAGTTATTAATACTGCATCGTTGTGTGATATTTAAAATAAACTCATATAATATGGAACTACTTAAATTTCATTCAGTAGTGAAATGCTTCTATCCAAAATATAAATTAGGATGTTTTATACATGAGACAGTTTAAGAAATTATCTGACGGATAAGGCGATTTCTTGGTTTAGAAACGAACACTGTCCTTATCAATACCAAGATCAGCTAGAGAAGTTTTAAATGTGTAACCCAATTCGTTTATGTTAAAACTTGAAAGTATTCTCCTATCTTGGCTGTTGACTAAATATCTGAACTGTTATAGAAGACTTGATCGATATTGGAGGATATACTGTCAGCAGTACTAATAGTTTAAATACATGCTTGCTACAATATGAGTAACAGACGATGTGGCACAGGAATTACTTGTGAAGAACATTCAAAGGAGCGTTCATCACTTCATGTTACCTTCAGGAAGAGAGGTAAGGAGAAAATTCCCATCTATATGTGATAGGATATAAACCCTCTGACTTGGATTTCCTCTCGGACCTCATCCAAGTAGTCATGATTTACCTACTGACGCTAACTTAACATACTTCTCCTTCATCACACAGTGCCACGTCACGGATTAAATATTCCTCCGCAATTTCCAACCAACTTCAGACTTAACAAACAGTGGATGGTATAGGAGCCACTAAGGATGACATTCCTAGTATATGCCCAAGCCATCAAATCCACTATCCAAAGACGGCATCACTCATCCAAAAACAATCCACACCATGCACATAAACAAACCACTGAATTTCAGAAGTACTTACATGATGATGCTATCCTATGCAAGCAATTCTATGGAGGCAATGATGACTCAACACATGTACATTGGCTGCACATTCTAAGCTTGAAGAGCCCAGGTTAAGATTGCATTTGCTGACGCTTTGTAAGCCCTATCTATGAGCGTCAACTTACCATTGAGGCAGCAGTAGAGGGATCTCATATTAGCATATGCCTTCTTGGCTTTCACTATGGGGTTACAGACCTCATCTTTTACACTTTCTTCAACCTATACGAATGCCCGAATGTGTGGATGGCAACCCAACCACGTTACTGAAAAATCAAATCCCAGAGCTCGGGCGCCATACTTCACTAAGAACACAAGGGAAGGAGAAAAAAGGTTTAAGATACAGGAGATTTGACACATGCGTAGTTACATCATTAGGTAAACTATTTATTCTTCTTTACTCTTTCGACTCCTTTTACATTACCACAGTATTATTATTATCAATTGTTATTTCCTTTAATTCCTAGAGGAACATAGGGCTTCGGCTGCACGTCTCCATTGCGTTCGGTTCTCTCCTAGAGTCTCCACCTGGCTCCACCTCTGCCTACATGCTTTAATCTCCTCTTCACGGGACCTCCTCCAAGTCACCCTTGGACGACCAACTCGCCGCTTCCCTTGCGGGTTCCACTCAAGGGCTTGTCTAGTGATGTCACTTGATGGTTTCCTGAGAGTATGGCCAATCCATCTCCATTTCTTCCTGCCTATTTGTTTCACAATCGGTTCCTGGTTGGTTGGTGATCTTTTCGGGCCATCTGATCTTGAGTATTGAGCGAAGACAACTGTTAATGAAGGTCTGTAGTTTGTTTGTTTATGACGCACCAAGTCTCTGATCCGTTTAGTAGCACTGACTTCACATTTGAGTTGGAAATCCGGATCTTATTTTTGATGCTGAGTGCTGTTGACCTTCACACTGACTTGAGAGAAAAGAAAGCTTGTCTTGCTTTCCCGATTCTTGCGTCGGTGGCGCAGCGGTTAGGACGCTCGCCGACCATGCACATGGTCCGGCGTTCGATCCCCGGTCGACGCACTCCTTTTGACTGTTAGGACGCGCTTTTCGAGTTACACGCTACATTCACCCAGTTACATAAAACTCTTATTTCTGTGGAGTTCTTGCCAAAAGGTTGTGGAATTTATTGCAATTGTTTGCCTTTCAAACACTGAATCTGTGGATATAATCTTGTTGACCGATAATACCTATAACTATCTGCTTGCTATTTTGTGACTGTCTAACACTAACTATTATCTATAATTGTATATATTGATGGATTTACATGTTGAAGTTGGCTCAAGTCAGTGAGTCTATGATTTTGGTATCATTTTTGTTAAATGTATCTGACTGTGATAATACTGCTGAGGTTACTTTCTTATTGTTGTTGTCTCTGCCCTTCCTGTTGTGAATTATTTTCCTGTTGCTGGTGTTGCTCAGATTGTTTTATTCCTTGTTTTTCTTAATTTAAGGGGAGCAACCCACAAGGTCGCTCCTCTGTAAACTATATTTTAATGTAATAACCCTCTTCTCAGGAGTGAGGCTAGCAACCCCACCCTGTAAACAACAGAAACTTCAGCAAGATGAATCTCCTCGCGTCAAAATGAAAAGTCTGTGTGGGGACATGGAACGTCCGCACCATGTACGAGATTGGCAAAGCTGTCCTGTCACATTACCATAGTAAAATGAACATTGTTCTATTTTATTTTCATGAAAGCTTTTCTGGAAGATTCCCGACGTATTTGCTGTAATTAAATATAATTTGTTTATTCATTTTACCTTAAGATATTTGTCGGGTGTTAAGATGTGCACCGAATATTTCAACTCTCAATCTAACAGCGTGTAATGTAACTAAATTTGGAATACCTTCCCTAACAACGTTAATCAATGTAAGTGCAAATTAATCTTATGTGATATATATGTATATTGCTAAATAATATCAGAACTGCCTTCTCCGCTATATTCATACTTCTTTTTATTGCTCACCGTACGTTTTTTATCTCTGTTCTCCTTACCTGTCGTGTTTCCATTGTTTTCAAGCATGACAGCTTGAAGTGATGCACTTCCATGCTGTATTCTACACTAATCCATCTATCAGTCAGTTGTGTAAACGGCCAACAACAGAAAGTCTTTTTGAATTAGCTGTTTTACTCTAAGCTGGTCGATTTAGTTGCGAAGCTTTCGTCGTCCTTCTGGACAACATCTTCAGCTCATGTTTTGGTATAAAATGAACTCATTTGAATTCTCCATGAATGATATAATTGTATGTCTCCTGGGAACCAACTTCGTGACTGTTAGTTGATTTACATCTCTATTGGTCATTTTTATTGACTTAGAATTTGAACTTTGCTTATGGTAGACCGAAGCTGTGCAAATCAACCAAAATTTCCTTTACGACCAATCTTCATGCTGCCAGTAACACCAACATACAGTCTATCTAAAGAACTTTCTAGAAAATTAAAATACCTATCAGAATCTTGCTACCAATCTATCAATTCATCAATTCAATTTATCGGGAAAATCAAGAATATTCAAGTGGATGACGATGAAATAATGATGTCTATTGATGTCACAGCATTATATACTTCAATTAGTCTAAAACTAGCGAAGGAAACTATGCCACAAATACTCTTTAGTGATGAAAACATAAAAACGCAAAGTTCAATTTGGATAGAACTCATAGAATTATGTCTTATAACATACTTCTTAGTCAATAATCAAGTATATGAAGAGGTTAAACGAATACCAATGGGATCGCCCAAATCAGGATTAATAGCTGGGGCTGTCATGCAAAGATTAGAATTAATAGCCCTCCCTACCCATAATTAAACCACCAATCCAAGTACGTTATGGTGATGATGCATGTGTAATAATAAATGAAAGAAATGGTTTGGAATTATTATTATTATTATTGTTCCCTTGGGTTCCTAGTGGAACATAGGGCTTCAACCACGCGTCTCCACTTGCTTCTGTCTTCTGCTGTACTTTTCACCTGAGTCCATGTTAATCCATACTGTTTCAATTCCTCTTCACACGATCTCCTCCATATCACCCTTAAACGTCCCACTCGCCGCTTCCCTTTCGGGTTCCACTCGAGCGATGGCCTGACACGCGATGTCACTCAGCCGCCTCCTCGGCGAGTGTCCAATCCATCTCCACTTTCTCCTGCATATTTGTTGGGCGATTGGTTCTTGTTTTATTTGTTCCCATAGTTTCTTGTTGGTGATTCTTTCCGGCCATCTGATCTTCAGTATAGAACGAAGACAGCTGTTGATAAAGGTCTGCAACCTGTTGGATAACTGAATGAAGTAACCTCTTTCAGATCCCTCCCGTTGATGGCGATTGGCGCTACATGTTGCTGCTGTTCTTTTTGGTTGGTTATTTTCATAACCTCCGTCTTGTCTATGTTCACCTGGAGTCCTGTCTTTGCTGCCAGCTTCTTCGACCAGTTTGTCGGTTTTCGCTTGTAAGTCTTCGATTTTGTGTGACATCAAACATAAATCATCCACGCGCGAAATCCAGGTCTTCTAAGTTCTTCACGTCGGTCCAGGATATCCCTGTCTTCTCGTTTCCCACTGTCTAAAGCATAATCCAGTCCACCACCATTAGGAGTATCAATGGTGATAATAAGCACCCTTGCCTGACTCCTGTCTTTACTCCAAACGCCCCGCTGAGTTTTCCGTTGTGGATCACTTGACATGTGCCTTTATCGTACAGCTGTTGAATAAGGTTGATGAATATTTGGGGTACGCCGTAGTACACTCACAAAATTAAATTCACAAGAGAAGAGAAATAAGACAGGAAAATTCCATTCTTAGATGCCTTACTTAATCAAGAGAACTAACACAAGAAATTTAGAAACACAAGTATATGGAAAATCAACGTACATAGAGAGACGAAATACTTAACTATAATAGTAATAACCCGATTACCCATAAAAAAAACTGTGTGCAGACATTGTTTAAAAGAGTTGTAACACGCACTGTATGATTCCGGTGTTGAAGAGAGTGGAGGAGAGATGCCCACTAACCGTCTTCAGAAAGAATGCATATCCTGATAATTTCATGAAAAAGTGTTTCAAATCCAGTCATAATGCAAACAAGAAAACATTACCAAAGGTCACAAGAGAATTCACTGTGCCATATATAAAATAATCTCTGAAATAACAGCTAGAATATCGAGACCGTTTGAAATAGATATAGTGCACGAACACTTAATTCGATATTGTGCAAATCGAAAGATGCAACACGGAAAGAAGGTAAAATTAGTAACATATACAAAATAAACTGTACGAACTGTAACAGACGTTACATCGGTCAACAAAGTAGGCGTCCCCTTCGAATCCGAATTCAAGAGCATGAATTAGCTTTAAAAAGACATGATATATATTTTTTCGTACCAATGCATGTGGATAATTACGGACACCAATTGGATTGGGATAATGTAGAAATTTTAAATAGAAGGAACACCTGAATTACTGTCAGAGAATTTCTCGAAGCCTGCTTGGTACTCAAGTGAATCAGCGATTAATATACATATTAATATTTACGAATTTTACCAGCTAATAAAAAGTAAGTCACATGACAAGAAAGTTCAAATTCTAAGTCAATAAAAATGATCAATGTGCGTCAGTGGCACAGGGGTAGAATGCTCGCCAACCACACATGTGTTTCGGGGTTCGGTCCCCGGACTCACTCTCTTACCTAGCTAAGCCAGTCATAAGACCGGTAAAGAGAGAAGGTTGGGGATGAGGCTGGCTAGCAACCCCATCCGGTAAAACTAAACGCTAGAGGCTTGAAGCCCTATGTTCCTCTATGAACGTAAAAAAATAAAAAAGATCAATAAATATGTAAATCACCAGTCACGAAGATGCTGGCCTGGAGACACACAATTATATCATTCATGCAGAATTCAAGTGATTTCATTATATACTAAAACATTATTTGAAGATGTTGTCCTGGAGGACGACGAAATCTTCGCAACTAAATCGACTAGCTCAGAGAGCACAACTAATTCAGAATCATCCACCTGACCCACAAATTTCTTTTATTTCAAGAAAGTCATTTTCCTTTTGGCAAAATGTAAACTGGATATTTTGATAAAGTTACATATGTAATAAAATTTCTATTAATATTTCATTCTTTATGTAAATCGAATAAGAAAGTTTTATATATTGACCACTTACATTCATTAAAGTTACACACCGCTTACTTCATGTTTATATGTCATTTCTTTCAATTTCACTACTTGCATTCCAAGCTAAATGCGAAGCTGTAAGCCGTGAACTTTGGTGGTTGGGTTGCCTTGTTACGAGATTGAATCGCCTAACAGCCAGCACTCTTTCTCCTCCAGGCTTACTATCACTTACCAAACTCGTTGAAGTAGAGAATCGAACCCTAACCTCCAACACGGTTGATAAGCTTTCTAAAGTTGAACCGCTAACGTTACAATCTCACATTATTTGTGTCTGTTGGATATATCACATCGAGTAAAATAGTATTATTTACTGGATTATAGAGTTTCGGTCACAATTTGTTGTTCACAAGCATACCAATTGTGACTATACAACTTCGAAACTTGATATTTATAAATCTCTTTCTTCCTTCCTTCCCATTTAGTTTAAGGGTAGTAGAGTTATCTGGACGTTCGGGACAGGTTTTGAATCATTTCCATCGATACAAAGCCTCACTTATCAGTCTTTCTCTCCACCTTGTTATGTTGGACTTTAATACTGTCATCTTGTCACATTCTATTGTATAGTTGTGTGTTACTGTAAGTAGTGTAATAGGTGAGTTATTTTCTAGGTTTCGAAGCCTATCAGGATCATTTAATCTAGATTTTGTTGGGTTTTTCGCTCCAACAATCTAACAGACTTCCTCCTGCTACTTTGTCTTATATATTTAGGCACACAATCATTGATGGGTATTAAATAAACTAAATTATTTTCAGGATTTCATGATGAACTGACATCGTTTAGACAAACATTAGAAAACGAACAGGGAGAATCGGACATCTGTCTCGTCCTAGTCTCTCTGGACTCTTCATCATTATGCACCTACAGAGGTCCAAACTCAGGACCTTCCGGTTACAAAGTGAGCCAGTTCGCGGACCATTAGGCCACTGGGACCTGATCCAATAGCCATTGCATGAATTCCAACTTCTGCTAATTCACAATATGATGCGACCACTAGCGAATGTCATTGGGGAGTATTTTTCCGATGTCAGTTCATGATGAAGTCCTGAAACTAATCGAATCTCTGCAAACCAACACCAAATTATTTTGCTTAAACTGTTCTACAAGACTCCTTAGCCAACATAAAGTGTTTCTAAGTGAGTTTATGGTTGATTGAATGTCACTTTTATTCCTACATTAAAAAGGATTATACGCAGGGTTTCAAAGGTTCTTTCTTTGTGTGGAAGCACTATTGGGGTTCTAAATTTTATAAATAAATATTAATAAACTTTTATGTACATTATTATTCGTTATTGCTAGCAGAGAAGCAACCTCTTCTGATTGGTTGTTTTCTGGCTTAAGGTTATACTGTACTGCTTGTGACCGTTGCTTACAGGGTTATCCATATATTGGCGAATCGTATCCGACCACGCTTAGTCTGTTGTGATTGGTTGTTTAGTTCCTCAAGGTTAGGCTTTGTTCTTGTTTTTTCTCATGATCCCGATTCGGGACGTAAACAGTGATGGAAATTGTTGTTTACAATTTTAGGTTGCAGACAGCTCTCACCCCAGTACTATTTTTATTCTGCACAAACCGCTGTTGTTCTTGCTTTATTCAAATTCAGAAACCGTTGTGTTTTATGTTATTCACAATAATAACAACTTAGATGGAATGTTTACAGAATATTAGTGATAGGATATTCAAATATGGATCATG